ATGCTTACTTTGGGCAATAATAGTTGAAAACACAGGCACACACACACACAGAAATACACACACAGAAAGACACAATCTTTGTAAATGAGGATATTAATTTGACTCAAGGTTTTATTAACTTATTTTCACTTAACACTTAGAAAGGAAATTTACCTGAAAATGATTCAGATTAGATGAGGACATAAAAAAAAAGAAAGTTTTGCAATTTGCCTTTCCCTTGGGTGACAATGTGAGAGAGTCATGTTTGATGGTTTCTTAGTCAAATACCCTTTATGTTTCTGAAGCAAAGCTCTCTGTTTATTACTAGACCCAAGATATACCACATTATTTCACTAAAAGCACATTGCTAACATGTGCTTTATTCTCTTTTCATCCGGCTCCGTTCTTGCCTGAAGATTTTTTTCTTCCATTCCATCGTTTTCTCTTAAAATGAAAGGAAGATGAATAGAGAGTTATTCCATTACAGGTAAATTATCACATTATAGTGAGGTACACTTTTTTAACCACTCAATTGTTTTATCACAGAAATAAAATACTACAAGCAAATTGAGTAATTGCTTCTACAAGATAGACACTAGCTGAAGCCATACCTTTAGCTATTTTTTTTAAATCACTTAATGAACTCCACCTTGCAAACGATTTAAGTAGTCTAGGTGTTAATAGAGTTTGAAATAAAAAGCTGAAAATGGATTAGGAATCCTCTTTTCAATCGTAGACAGTAGAAGGGTTTTCTGAGCATCCTTGAAACATGGATAGATTATTTTGGGGGGCAAAAGAAAGCCATTGGCTTGAAATAGATCTATACTAGTCTCCCTTTATTTATTTATCAGCACAAATGCAATACAAATGTAACAAAGGCAACAGTAAAAATAATGGCTTTCTGTCGTGATGGTCTCTTGTGACGAGCCGATAGACAGAGATAGGAAGCAGTAGACTTCCCCTCATATTTGGGCATACCAGGTGTTGTGACACTAAATATATACATGCATGCATGCATGCATGCATGCAT